GACTTAGAAATTTTAGGAGTCATTAATTCTCTTGAAGCATTTTCATTATTTTTACATAATGAAATATTTACTATTAGAACAGATTGTCAAAATATTGTTTCTCATTATAATAAAATTACTACTAATAAACAAGCAGCCCGAATATGGGTGAATTTTGTTGATTCTATTACAGGAAATGGATTTAGACCGATATTTGGAGCATATTAAAGGTATGGATAATACTTTAGCAGATATCTTATCTCGTATTATTCATTAACATGTATGCAGTATTTGGACCATCATCATCTGGTAGCAAAAATAATGGTACACCATCACTAGGTGGTAATCCATTAAGCATAAGTAATCAAGCATGATCAGTAGCAAATACTTATTTTTATAATGGAATTTCTGTACAAGAAGTTAGAAATCCTGCTTTAAAGTATCGTACTCAAGCATCATTAGCAGAAAAATAAAAAGTTCTTTTAGATAACTTTTGGAATATTAGAACAAATACTGAAGCCATGAGAAAAGGGCATGAAAAACTTATTAGAGCCCTTGAGCAAGAATTTGTAGCCTATAATTATGATTATAAAATAGCAAAACAACAACTTGCTTTGTTGCAGGAAAAATATTTGGAGCAAAAGAAGGAATACGATTGCATAGTAAAACATTTTAGAACTATTAATTTAAGATGTCAAATTCTACAAGAAGAGGCTAATAAGCCCACCGTAATTGAGCATAATTTACGGGAAAAAGAGGCTAATAAGCCCAACTTACTTGAGCATAATAGTGAATTTTCTCTTGAGCAAAAATCTAAAAATCCCTATTTTCTTCAAACTCTAGCTAGAGAAAGGTATAAGTTTTTACCAGTAGATGTTAAGAATCATATGATTAATTTAGAATATGAGCAAAATACATCTCTTCAACTCTATATTAAAGCTTTTCTTTTCAATTTTAAAAGTAATCCACATCCTGGCATCACAATTATTACCAAAAATTGTTCCCATTACACTATTTACTTAGCCAGCATTAACATGATTGAATATAGGGAACTACATTTAGAGCATAAACAAAAAATAATCGTAGTTACTCCAGCATTATTAGCACAATATGGTTATTTAGGGAAACTTTATATTGAAAAAAGCGAGCATTTAGATTCGTTCTCCCAAAAATTTAGAGAAATTATAAGTTTTTATCTGTCTCTCTGGAAAAATGTAAAATTAGATTTCACTAGTATACCCCCAGAGTGGTTTAAAGATAGCATTTACCGAGATAGATATAGCACAACATAGGATTATTATTTCTTTTGATGAATTATTTAATTCGGGAGAATCAGCACAAATAGGAATGCCTACTAAGCAAGACATCCAACAATACAGAGGAGCAATAATAGCCGAGCAACAGCTATTTAATGATGATCATCTGACCCTCCTGTACCAGTCCAAGTTTATCAAGGTGTATTCAGAATCCACATCCAGGAGACCAGATGATATATATGAAAACATGATTAGTACTACATGAGCAAAAGTTTATGACGAAATCTACAACCAGATAGCAAAACAGATTACAGCAGAAGATAATGACAACTCATATTGGAATAGCTTAGGAGAAGAAGAGATACACAACATAGATAACATAATGGATGCATGAAGACCACGTGAAGAATCCATCCAGCAGAACAGCCGCCAAATTTCTTGGCTCCATACGGCAGCAACATATGAAAAGAAGAAAGATTTCAGTTTCATACGGCTAGGATCCCCTAGGAAATCTAGAAAAGAATAAGGGCATTACTGTCCAACCACTTTAATTTTGTCCTTCTTTATAAAAATTGTATATATGCATTTTTAAAAAGGTATAGCCGCCCGGCTATACTCCGTTTTGCTTAATTGTTTTTAAAAATATTACAGCCGTGCGGCTATACTCGTTTTCCCCCTTTTTTCCCCAAAAAAATAGCACTCTACCCTTTTCACACGTGGTCCTATGCTTTGGGCTGGTCATTTTTATATTATAAATAGTATAGCTGTATACAATTTATACAAAAAAAAATTAATGTTTTATGAAATTAGTTTCTTTACCTTTTGTTTTTGGGCCTACTTCTTCAGTTTATTATATGCAATTAAGATATATCTTATCTTTTTTTAATTACTTTACATAGTAATTATATTTTAATTACTATTGAATACAACAAAATTAAAGAAAAAGTGCACAAAATAACTAATTTCTATTTATTAAGTGTTTTGTGAAATCTTTTGGGTGTGTTAATTAAATTTCTCCATAGTGCAATTTATTAACATAAACAGAATGGAAATTCATATTATTAGCACATGAAATTGAAAATACAAGTTAATCTATTTTGTACAACCCAATAAATCTTTGAAGGAAATCAATACCTTCAAGTATCTAGCAGTTGAAGAAAAAAAAAACAGCTAGTTGCTTCTCAATAGACACAAATTGCAAGGCAAGGAAATTACTAAGATCTCTTGTGCAACAAAATGTCTTAAGTCAATTAGTTAAACGTCACCAAGTTCTTACATAAAGCATGGAATTTAGTTGGACTCAAGATTCAAAGGATTGTGAGGGAGATGACTAAAAGGCATGCATGCAATGAACACATCTTGCTAAAACAAAAAATGAAATAAATAAATCAAAAATAAAAAAGAAGACGTAAGATGCATATATGCAGGACAAGGTATCTAGACTCCATGAAGCAACCACAAACAAAAGAGAAGTCTAGATACACAAGAGAAGCAAACTAGTCATCAACATGAGGAAGAACATGGTCTTCCTTCTTGACCCAAACTTGTTTCACATTTGAAACTTTATGAGACATAGAGATCAACTCAGGAATTTTGACAAGTTTATAAAGAAGATCATTCACTTGAGTTTGAAGTAAATTTCCTTCTACTTTCTTGAGATGAACAAAAGACTTTTTCTCAAAATTCCTAAGCCCAAAACGCTTTGGTCTTATATGTCCTAATGTGCCACAATGATGGCAAGTAGGAATGACCCTTTTTGATTTAGGGAAACCAAATTTTGCAAGTGAAGAATGTTTATCCCTCGTACAAAGAATAGATTTTGCAAGGTCACATGTTTTAAGAGATGAAACATGGTTCTTAAAGCCATTTGCATTGGTTGCTCTAGACACTTTCCTTAGAGCATTACACCTAGGTCGAATGTGACCTTTCACACCACAATGGTGACAAGTAAGAATGAATCTTTGAGTTCTAGTTGGCTCTAAAATATCAAACTTTGTATTTGACTCCTTGACAAATGTGGTCGAAGGAGGAGGAACACAAGAACTAGAACAACCATAACCAAAACCAGTTTTGTCTCCATGAACCTTACCCATATTCAACATTTTATCCACCTTTTTAGCCCCTACGGTAAGCTTGATCATCGTGTCATTTGCCTTATTTATCTGAGTCAACAAATTCTTGTTGGAGGCTTGGAAAACCAAGTTGTTTTCCTTGAGCACATTCACTTGGTTTGAAATGTCATTTTTAATGACAAGCAATGAATCCTTTTCACTCTCCAAGGTCTCAACATTTTCACTCAATTCATTATTTGCTTCTTTAAAAGTGTAATGAAAAATTTCCAAGTTCTTTACCTTCCCTTCAAGTAAGAGATTTCTTTCCTTAAGCTTGGAAGTTTCAGTAAATAGGACATCATACTTTTCACACATACCCATGTATGACTGGTCATCCTGTTCCCTGTATGACTGGTCATCCTGCCTATCATCTCTAGACACAGATTCATTTCCTGAATCAGATTTTCCTTCCTTAACTACATGAACTCTAGCAAGTCTAGAGTTATGAACAGAACCAACAAGGGCAAAATTATTTGCCTCTTCATAAGATGAAGTGATATAGTTGTTGGAATCATCACTATCACTATCACTTAATTGTGCACTAATTGACTCTTCTCTCCCATTAGACTCTATCATGTGGTTATTTGCACATTCCACATCAATGTGACCAGCACCACCACATAGATAGCACTTTACAAGACCCTTCAAACTTTTGTTCTCCCTAAAGCCATACGTGTCCAAAAAATTCATCTCTTTAAAAGCGTTGTCTTGAGACACACATGTAGACGAAATAGGAAGATTCTGACAATTCCTAGTGACTTTGGTTTTATCTTTAACACCCTTCTATATTTCTTAACAAACATGGCAGGCTCATCATGAATGCAAGGAGCAATTGATCCATTTTTATGTTTGCACACCTAATACCAATTAGCACCCAAAAGATCTCCCTATTTATGTTAAGAGCTAGTGCTCTGATACCATTTGAAATTGGTACTTAGGTGACGAGGGATAAATTTTTCGACACTTAAACAAAACGCAACAATCTTCACACACTTTAGACCTTGACCAAAACACTTATGACTAGTTAACTGCTAGTCAAGAACAGCCACAATCAAGAATACACACAGAGCATGCCACAATGTTCCTGCAACCCTAGAAGATTACTAATGACAACCTAGGCATTCAGAAATACCCGTCAATCTAGGCATCCCCTGTGCTAGCAACAACTATGGTGAAAGTGTGTGAAATCATCATAATCAAGTAAACACCAAACAGTAGATAATGATTACTAATCAACTACAAGGACACAAACCCAGAATTCATACGATGACTAGTCAACCACCAAGAATACAAACCCAGAAAATTACAGAGATGCAATTAGAAATTGTTCATCTAGAAACCCACCATTGGGAAAAACTGGGGGTTATCAACCGACCAAGCAATCCACTAAGTAGAAAAAGATTATTATAAAGGAACACAAGCAAGCTCAAGAAAAACCTAGATCTATTGAGGAAGATGAGTTATACCTCCTTTGTGCAATCTTCTTCTCCAACTTAGCAAAGCTTGAAGCTCAGTTCTTCATGGCAATGGCAGCTGCTTCTCCAGCTCATTCATCTCATGGCACCAGCTTGCAAGCTCTAACTCATACAGAAATCAAAATTTGGATTCAAAGGAGAATGACCAATTTCTTCAAGAAACCATACTCTTGAAGAAATCAATCTTGAATCTGATCTAGATATATATGAGAGAGTGTTTGATCTAGCAAGATGATGTTTTCATATTTCAAATGCAGTTTTCAAAAAGAAACATTTTGGAAAACTCAAAGATGAAAAATACGAAGGTTACACTTGAGGAAGAAGAGAAAGTTTACAGAGAAACTTTCCAAAACTTGCCCACAAAAGTGACGGCTACCAAATGAGGAATTCTTGGGCTTTTACCAAAAATTCCTAGGTCAGAATAGACACATGGCAGCTGAGAAATTCGTAGAAAATGACAAAAAAATGGTTAAACCTCAGCTGAAAACAGTGGGCTGGAAATCCTAATTGAAACAAAGGTTGACTAGTCATACGAAAGAAAGATCACTAGTCATACGAATGCAAGATGACTAGTCATACAAAGGAAAGATGACTAGTCATAATGTTTAGAAATTTAGTGAATGCAATGTAGTGTAATGCAGAATTTACCTTTGTCAAACACATTGTTTTCCATCAAAATGTAGCCATATAAGAACACCTAGAGAAGTAATTCTTAATATAAACTTAGAGCTTGGGAAATTATAATGATTTTTCTATTACAAAATTGTCAAGGGAAGCCAAAAGAAAAACTCAAAGTGCATACATTAACAACAACCAAATGTCCCAGTAATCTGAATATCAAGCCTCGGCCTAGAGTTTTCTTCAAATGACTCAAAATTCTCATAACTGCTGCTAAGTGATCCTCATTAGAAGAATGCATGAACTGGCTAACAACACTAACTGCGTATGCGATATCTGGTCTAGTGTGCAAAAGATAAAATAGTCTTCCCACTAACCTCTGATATCTCTCCTTATTGGTCGGCACTTGATTAGGATAGATTGCTAGGTGATGATTCTGCACAATATGGGTTTTGGCTAGTGCACACCCTAACATACTAGTTTCTGTCAACAAGTCTAGAACATACTTCTTTTGAGATAGACAAACACTAGTAGTAGAGCGAGTTACTTCGATTCCCAGAAAATACTTCAAAGAGCCCAAGTCCTTCATCTCAACATCATCACCAGTAACTAAACTCTTTATAGATTCAACATGTAAGGCTTTTTACCTATATTGACCTTAGGTCCCTTCATGCATTTATATCATACATGAAAAATTGTTTTATGTAAACTAAATATGAAAAATGGTTTTTCGAAATAATCATTTTCTCAAGATAATTTTTTGCGGCTTTTATTCCTTACACATCAAATAAGAAAACTTGATTTTATATTATGTAGTATATATTGACTTAATAAGCCATCATTTTTAGCCTAAATCATATTTTGCACTAATATTTGAATCCAAATATGAGGTACTTTCTTATTTATATCGTAAAATAAGTAAATTGAGTAATATAAAAATAAATGAAAGTAAAAGGATAAAGACATTTACTTGCTCCTCCTTGCGTCTTAATAGTCCGCCATACATACTGTTTAGCATACCCTTTACTTAAGCTTATAAGGTTGTTCTCAACAATACATAAAAGGAGGGGAAAACGCAGAGGAAGAAGAAGTGAGAACAACTCAGAGCTATAGCTGCACTCTTATTGACCTTTTAAGCTACAACCTGTAGCTCACAAATAATCACTCAATAATAGGCCGTACACAAACCAAGAATACATATATATCAGCTTCCTGATGCAGGGCAAATTGAAAATTTAATCTTTCTAATTTTCTTAAAAGCGTATTTCAAACCTTGGGAAAATCCTTTATACAAAGGAAGTTGCATGAGCCCAAGCACAGGGACAGGAAGAAATGCAACCACGTAAATGAGGGACGTTGTCCATTTCTTTCGGAGATGAATCAATAGCACAATAGTAGCAGTGAAGGTGAGTATGGTGGTTACCAGCAATGTTTTGAAAGGCGAGGCGTTGAAGATAGGCGTTTTATGTCTCGCAAAGCGAGGTGTAAGCCTTGAGGCGATAAGGCGCAAGCCTTTTGAACATTCAATTATCATAAATAAAAATATATTAGTATGTTAATAATATGTAAAACATATGATCTATATATGTTGTGAGGTCATTGATTCATAAATTGAAACATCTCAAGCCTTTCTTTAAGCCCTAAATTGATTTAGACTGTTATAGACTGGATATGAATAATATGTGGGTGGATATGGGAGAGAGCTAGTCAAAATTTAAACAGAGGGAAATCTGATTTTTGTGAACCTTCTATTGGGTGAGGGCAGAATATAAAAGGCACAGGAGAGACTAATTAATATAATAATTTTTTATTGTGAAGGAACGGAGGAAGTGGGACCTGAGCTTATGTTATGTTCTTAAACTTAGAAACCATAGATGTTGAAACGCTGGCGTTTTGCTTTACTCTTTAAACACAAAAGCTGTACCATACGGGATCGTTTTGAGAGAAATAAAGTTAGGTTTCATCGTCGTCTTCTCCGCTCTGCAACGCCTCTGCAATTTCACGCGTACGCTTTTGGAATTTGGCGTACGCCTCCTTAACTTGGCGTATGCCTTTAACAACAATCGCTAAACAGAGGTACGCTTGAGGCGTTTTACCATCGCCTCGCCTCGCCTCACGCTCTCAGGCGCGCTTAGGCATGCCTTTCAAAACATTAGTTACCAGTGAGAAGAACAGAAGGGTGAACCCTAAATGTAGCCGGAACGGAAGAGAACGGTAAAAGTCTTGGTACTCAAACGGCGACGTGAGGATAGAGAGAAACGTGACCAAAGAAGCCAACGAGCTGATAAGCGAGACAGTGTTGGTAATGGCGAAAGTGACAAAGAAAGCGGAATCCCGGAGAAGAGGAAGCCCGTTGGAATCATAACCCCCGGGAGCCGTGTACGCGGCTGCATAGACCACGGTGGCCACCAGAGCCGCCACGGTCGAGCATGACTGAGCAGTCCCTTTCATCCATTCTTGTGCCGACTGAAGAAGCTTTGCATGCTCACTATTGAAGAGCTCCTCCGCTGTCAGACCCTTATGGTTGTGGTGCGTGATGTAGTGAGGTGGCATTATCTTTTCCACACGCTGGCCGCAAATGGAAAAATTGTTAAGGATTAATACAGTAATTAACAATATAAAATGGTATTTCTTTTTTGCAATGTTGGAAGATGTTACCCTTGTTAAAAATATATATATATACTTTTTCAGTAATTTAAAACATTTTATACATGTTTTTCTAGGAAAAAAAATAGTTACATAGTGAATTTAATAATTAATCTCATTACCTATTCTTATTTGGGGGACAGGAAACTAATAAAATTTGTATTTTAAATGCATGTATGTCAATTTGGGGTAGTGACATGGAGTTTATGTACCTAGTTAGAGGAGGTCCTGAATTCAAAACTCATCTACGAGAGTACAGTAATTGAATCAAGAAAACGCATGCATGCATGTCCTAGTAGATGAACTTCAATTAATGAAATAAAATGATAAATATATTAAGGTGCACATAACTCACTCACCACCATCCAACGCAGTTCTTCTTGCAACTGCAATGCAGGACCACCTACCCGTTGAGTGTTTGCAGAGTAATATCTCATGTATGCAGCTTGGTGCAATATGGTGTTGCCATCACGGTCATTCTTCATAGCCATCCTTAACGTTAATGATTTACTCTTTTTCACCAGCTTAAAGATCTGAAGCCGGCGGTGCTTGATGGCGATGTGCAGAATGTTTTGTTGATTATCAATGTCGTGTGCCTCTGCCGCTTGAGGGTGCAACTGAAGAACTTTTTCCACAATTTGTGCTATTCCGGTGCTGGTTGCCATAAGCAATGGGGTATACTTATGAATAGATCTGGTCTCTTCTTCTTCTTCTCCTCTGTCGTGTGACGGCACCAGGGAAATTGTCCCATCCATCTTCTTTTTACTTTCCACCCATGAATGGTCCTTCTCGACCAGCAAATGAGTGAGTTCCAACAGTGATTTTTGCTTCTGCATTTCCTTGTACATCATACGGATTCGTGGCCATCCTACTAGTTATTATGATCATGCATGCATATTCATGAGAGAGATATTGATTGGGAAAGATAGATAAATAGTAATTAGTTTTCCAGCATGCTTCCACATATAAGCCAAATCTTAATTAAACAACAGCTGCAGAAAATTGGATTGAATTTTTATTTTATATTTAACTTTCTAACTCTAACATATATTTGTCGTTGCGTTATTAGTATATTGTGAACATATATGTAGATACACTTTATCGTGGTGTCAATATAACATAAATGTTATCGTATGTGTGACAGTCAAACCAAAGAATATCTCCTAAATTTACAGTTTGTCGAAAATTGCAGCGCGGCGCCACCAACCGAACTGACCAACTCGGTTGTCCTAAATCCCAAACTACCAGCGACTATGACGGTTTGCATTGGATCGGTGAAGTTAATCCAACCCAATATGGAGTTGGAGCAGGGAGGGAGAGAGAGAGAGAGAGAGAGGTGGTTGTGACTAGGATAAATTAAATTTGGGTTTTCCCTTCAAATTCATTTTTTCTTACCTACAACTCATCCTTTTATTTTTGTATAAATTAAACCAATTTTTATAAGTAAAACTCGATGACTAGATCCACCTAAACAAATTATCTAATCAAGCTTAACATATTAAATGTTATATTTTTTGAATTCCTAAAATACCCCTAATTGCATTTTGACCTCTTTTTTTTCCCAACAAATTGTTTGCTATTCAATGCCATAATGGTGTTTCAATTTTGCAAACGTTTTATGGGTCAGTCTTATTTATTTATTTATTTTACATATAATTAAAACTTGGTTGTAATTAGTGTCATATGTTTTTTAAATTGATTTGTTCCAATGTACCTATTATGTTTTTTTCACTATGATTGGTTATATTTTGTAAACGAAATATATAATTAAAACTTTGGTATGTTTTTCCAAATCGGACTACCATTCATATTTTGTTTTAATTTTCATATTGATTGGTTAGTTATTTCCTTTTATTTATATCAAAATTTCAAATTTAATAATTGTTATGGTTTGAAAGTAATTTCAAATTTAAGAAAGACACTTGTTCTTGCTCTTTATAGGTCTTGATCCCTATGTTTTAGTACATTAATTTACCTGCATTTTTCTTAGGTACATATGACTCTAGGTAAATTGTTGAGGTAAATTGTTGAACTTGCAAAATATAGGTACATTAATAGGTATATTGTAAAAATAATTTGCCTTACTGTAAATAATTTGCCTATACACATTTGTAGGTATATTGTAAAAGTAATTTACCTACTTTTGTTTGTAAAAAATGTACCTATATATATATATATTTATAGGTACATTATTTATTGGAAATATAATTTAGGGATTTTTTTTTTTTTTTTTGGTTCAAAATATTTTATAAATTGTCGATGGATTAGAGGGAGTGCCAACCAAAAGAAATGAGGGGTTTAATATGCTATTAATAGGAAGAATAAATTATAATTAAGACAGTTAGTGAAATGGTTGAAAATAAATATGAAGGTAATTGACATGTATTGTAATTTAGTTAATAATACTAGGAAAAAACTATCTTCCATGGCAACCTATTTTACATTTGGGTTTTAAGTAAAGATTTAAAAATAGGTGGGTATTAGTCTAAGACATAGTATTTGTAAGGGCCTATATTGGAATAACCCGTTAATAATAAACAAGTGCCACCGCAGTGGTGAGATGAAATCAAGAATTGAATTGAAAAAACAAAAAAATTAAAGTATTTATGTCTCCCTAAGTTAGCGAGTGTATAGTTGAAGTTGAAATTTTATAAAGATCTCCTAAAATTGTTTTATAGTATTTTGAAATAAATTATAACTAACTAAATAGGAAACATGATTGGAAATGGAAGAAAGCCTAAGTCAAATCTCATAGGAAAAACAAAAAAAAAAAACCTTTAGCTAGCCATCCCTTATAAATTTTCTGACTACGTTATTGGTAAATACAGTCCCCACTTTTGCAGTGCGAAAAATTCAAATGCAGCATAGCATATATGTTATATTTAAATACGTATTATGCATAGAGTAGATCGTACACTTATAAATGAGCATCTTCCATTTGTTTTTGCGAAATTTTCCTTGGAACGCAGATGGCATTCGGGCTAGCAATTGAAGGCTTGTGAACCCATTACTTTCCTTTCTTTCTGCAAGATTTTGGTACTCTTTTTGTAACCAAACAGCAGTCTCTGCATTGAAGGAAAAACATGTTAATAATAATAATAATAAAATCAATATAATAGACTAAATGTTTACTTGCCAAACTTATAGCAAGACTCAAATAATCCATTTTTATAGCTTGACAGCATTATTAAGTATCTTATCTTACTAACTGATGTATGATATAAAAGGACATATTTGTATCACTTTACTGGTCATATTGCTGACCCATTTGTTAATGGCGGAGTCAGAAATTAATGTTAGAGGGACCAATAATATAAAAAAATAAAGAGAATGAGAGTATAAACACTATCATTAATTTTCATACCCTTGGACCAATAATATCTCCTAAAGTAAAAATCAAGAAATAAGCTTTAAATTACAGCTTTTACACATCAAGTTCTGATTGTTGTATATATAACCCCTTTATCATCTTTCAATAATCTAGTCAATTCCTACGCACACAACATTAAATTATTTACACTGAGAGGGAGAAGGAGGGAGAGAAAGAAAATGAGAGTAAAATGGTGTGGAAGAGATAGAGTTGAGTAGGGGCCTAGGACCCCTATGGTCCTTATATGGCTCCGCCGCAGCAATCAGTACTAGAAGGGTGATAACAATATGATCAGTAAATGTAGTAGAAATAGAGAGTAATGCATTTTTTTTCATAAATAACATACACATATATAATGAGAGTAAAGAGTAATGCAATTGTCATTTTGAAGAGAGAGACCAAAATGTTGGCCAATGACTGCGATATGAAGAATGGATACTTGATCTACATGTCTTTGGAAGTGCAACTCTATATCGTCCACCACTTGGGTAGCCAAATATTTGGCCAACTTTGTGTGACCGAAAGCTGCAGCCCTGTAGAGTGGGGTTTCTCCTAACTGGTTCCGAATCTCTATCACACGCGCACCGTTTTGGTGAAGATCTAGTCTA